AATAGTGATTTTGCCTATCTTCATCACTGTTCAAACTTCATCACGCGGTCACGATTGTCCGATTGTGTTTTATTTTTTATTTTTATTTTTACAAAACGTAATGACTTGAAATTTGGAGAGTATGTACATCTTACTGAGACGCATCTAATAAAAATATTAAAAAATTATCCGTGAAAAATAAATTGATCAAAATACCCCTAAAACTTTTTGAGGGTATTTTGGACAATTGTTTTCACTTAAAATATTTTTTTTTATAATTTTCGAAGATTCCCCTGTTTTTTATGAATACACGCTTCAAATTTCAGATCATTTCGATTTGTAGAAAAAAAAATGAAAAATAAATCACTACAAGACAATCGTGACTGTACAATGAACTTTGGATGGTGATGGGATAGGAGAAATCACTGTTCATTTTCGTTGATAGACGTTGCGTAGTGTTTATATATATATATATATTTCCTTTAATACGAAACGCACCTCTTAAAGTCCCGGCTCCTATAAAGCAAAGCCAAGCCACGTTTTCGCCTCTTGCTGCCAACCAGCACACGCCAATGTCCATCTTTACCTAGCCAAGCCGTGGTTGGGTCCCTAAACGAGCTTGCATTGAGCCCCTGGCTCGGAACCATCAATGGATTGTGCTCGACAGGCTTGATCCACTCGACCAAAAATGGGTCCGATAGGTTCAAGGGCAGTGCTAAGTTTTGCACTTGTTGATTTAGAGAGTTGAGCCCTGTGTATAGGATGACAGGGGTGTTATCAGGGAGTATGGTGGCTGAGCCTGACCAGCAACCGTTGATGTCAAAGGGTGCGGAGGGATAGATGGCAGGCTTTAGATGGATCCAACGGATGAGATCCATCGAGACAGCGTGGGCCCACACAATGTTGCCCCATACGGCCCCATAGGGGTTGAATTGGTAGAAGAGGTGGTAGACGCCCTTATAGAACATGGGAGCTGAAGAGATCAGAAAGATTGTTGGCGTAGAGAGAGGGAGGGAGAGAAAGAGGCATAAGAGAGTGTTAGAGTGTGTGCGCTGAGAGAATTTTCCAAAGTTCTGATTCCACTTAGTAGCAAATTTGGCACAACAATTTGGACAAATAAAGAGAAATAGTCGTATTTTGTTATTATTAACACTAACATAATCGCTTTAACAACACTAGCTCATATGCTCCATTCGCTCCTTACTACATACACAATTAACACCCTCACATCCAACATTCCATTAAACAACGCTTATACCTTATTTACTTCACACTGTCATATTTTCTCTCTTACTACATACATAATTAACACCCTCACATCCACCATTCCATTAAACAAGGCTTATACCTTATTTACTTTACACTGTCATATTTCTCTCTCTTCTCAATGCACTCTATTCTATTCTATTCTCTTCTCTTCTCACGTAACATCAATGACTCGTCACTTTTCATTCTCACCTCTCACGCATCACGCTACAACCTCACCTTTTTCAATATCTCACGCCTCTTTCAAAAAGGGGTTATATACAACGACACCTCTTTAAAAAAGGGGTTATATACAACGACACCATTTTTACCTTTTGTCGACAAAGGTCACAATAACTACAACTTTACTGCTCAGGCATATTATAAAGTTCATTCATTTTTTTTTTAAACTTTGAATTTGATTAATGAGATAAATGCAGCCTCTCAATTTTATATTTAATGGTCAAGATCAATTATGACCACTTTATACCAAAGATAAATGATCTAATTATATAACTTTTTTTTGAGTAATGATCCTATAGGTACTTCCTTCACCTATGTGTAGGACTCAAATGATCCTCATTAAATTTGACACGGATCCCTAAAAAAGTTATCATATGGGTATGGAACTTGATAAAGATCCGTGCCAAATTTAATGATGATCTTTTAAGATCCTACGCATATAAGTGGAAAAAGATCCTATAAAATCATTTCTCTTTTTTTTTGTTGAAATGAGACATACAAGCGATTATTTATAAACCTTTTAACCGCCCTCCCATATGGACCACCACCTTATATTCCGTCTTTACCAAGGAAGAAAGGTCGGTTCAAACAGCCTTTTCTATAACTTTATGCGTGCAGTTGACATACAAATGCACTCGTACCTGTAGAGGTAAAGTTGAAACAATCTCCACCATTTAAACATTTAAATGGCTGAAATTGTGCACTAAAACCAAGGGAATGACCAGCGCTCACCGGTGCCCTAGTTTCTTTCCCTTAACTAGAGAGAGAAAGATGGATAGCTGGATTTCAATAGAGAGCAAAAAAATCTGATATGCATTTTTTCTCAGATTTGCGTCCATCTTTGTTTTAGAGTAGGAAGTAACGGAGAAAAGGTGTAAATAGAGAGCGTTTGGTGAGAGAGGGGAAAGTGAGATGCGAAGTGGCCAATTTCTGCTGCACTCTTCTGCCATTATTGCTTAATTTTCTCTACAATTTTGTCGAATTTCAATGATTTTTGCAATACATTCTGCGATGCTTGAAGAATGGGTAGATAGGGTCTCTAATGGTGAGGCCTTTGAATTTGAGAAGGAAGAAGCCAATGAAGAAGAGGGGCTTTCTATTCTTTTGAGACACACCAAGGTGCGGTCACTGTAATACTCGCACCAAATATGTGTTGTGGGTCTTGAAGGTGCTTTGAAAAAGCCAATTGGTCTTAGTGGGTGTATTTGGTTTGTTCTCACCAATGACATAGAGGTGAAGTTATAGAAAAATGCCTCGAGTGTTATTGAAGCCCCTATTGGGTTTTCTCAGTTGGAAACCATATCCCAAAAGAAACCATAAAACAATTATTTTTTATTTTTTATTTTTATACAAATGGGGCTTATACGAAACTGCCATAGACTTTGCAAAGAGAGCAGAAAAGGTGAAATGGTTTTCTTAAGACATGGTGCAGAGAAAAGGAGCCCAAAAGACCACCATTGGCACCATTGAAAACCGCCATTAAAAACCACTAGGGAGCTTTCACTTGAAAAAGTTTCTCATATTACACCAATGATCAAGACCTATATGAGATAATCATGCAATGCAAAACTAGCATCGTTTTGATAAGAGAGAGTGGAGTAGGGTGAAGAGAAAGAGAGAGGTGTACGGTCGAGAGAGACACAACTGGAAAGGTCACCGATTGTTTTCAGTTGGAAGTATTGACATATGACGTTCAAATACGAAATCTGAACCATCCAAAATATTGGATGGCTTCCATTGGAAGTATTGACATATGCTGTTTAAATTCGAAATCTGAACCATCCAAAATATTGGATGGCTTATAAGGCCGCTATTGCCGTAAGGCTGCAAACGTATATAAACTTTTCTCTTTCTATAATCAGCAAATGACCACTTCCTTTTGACTATTCTAGAGAGAGAAAAAGATAGGAATCCTTTTAGAAAGAGAAATGTCCAGAGAGAGAAGAGCAACCATGTGTTGCTCTCTACAACAGAGGGATTATAATAAAATGAAAATACTAGGAATATGCGTTACAAAACCTTGTCAAAAGGAAAGAGTAATATTGAAAAGATAAAGAAAACTATAGATAGCTTTGAAAATGCCTCATTGATTTGGGAATTTTATTGCCACATAAGGTTGTGATTATTGTGGAAAGCAAATTAAGTAGGAAAAGAATATAGTAAGATTATTTAGATCAGGGAATTTTATTGCCAACATAGGGTTGTGATTATTGTGGAAAGCAAATTAAGTAGGAAAAGAATATAGTAAGATTATTTAGATCAATACAAGAAGGCCACAATCCTTTCTGACCTATAAATCACGTAATCATATAGGCCACAATCCTTTCTAACGTATAAATCTCATACTTATATGGTTAAATATATTAGTACAAGAAAGTCACAATCTTTTCTAACCTATAAATCCCGTAATCATATGGTTAAGGATATATTAGTATTCGAAGGTCACAATCTTTTCTAACCTATAAATCCTGCAATCATATGGATATAGGTTCAAAATCTTAAAGTGTATTTTTTAGACTTCGTAATACATCCACAGCCATCTAATTACATCCACAGCCATCTGATTTCGCATCTGACTGGTAAGAGTGATGGTGTACTCCTTATAACAAAAATAATTAATTTTAAGGCATTTTATCAAAATACATGTAAAAGATCAACAATTTAACATGTTACCCATATTGTTATATTTGATTTCAAAATACCCATCGAAATACACATGATTTGAAACAGTTCATGATTTAGACTAATGGCAAATGTGTAAAATGTCAAAATAATGCATCTTTATTAGATATTTTTTTAAATTTCCCATAATTTTGTAGTCTACAATTAACTAAGCAAAGAGCTGTTTTTATTTGGGAGAGAGACCAAGTACTTTTCTCCCCATATAGATTTAAAGGAGAGATATTTTTGGTAAATAGGGAAGGAAAAATAACTTTTTTTTTTTTCTTTTCTAGCAGATCAGTGGTAGAAATTGATCTCAAGATTTAGTGAGGCTAAATGCTAGCTGCTAATCACTCAAGCCCGAGCCCAATCCCTAAGAAAAGAGAGCCACAGGGAAGAGTTTGATATTTTTGAATTATTATTCCAGAGTGAAAAATTCAAAATTCTTACTCCTATATATTCTTTCAATAATATAAATTTATTTGAAAAATAAAAAGAACGGCTCTTTTCACCCTGAAAGAGAAGGGGCAAGGAGAAAAGCAACATGAAAAGTTCATCCCCCGTATAAATCAACGAGCAAGAGAAGGAAGACTTCTGCTGCAATGGCTTCAGTTTTACACGTACTCTCTCTCTCTAAAATACAGCGGTACTTTTCATAATTCACCAAAGCCAAGTACTGCAATAAAAAATTCAAAACTCAAGAGTCAAAATAAACTCACCATTTGGATCTTCACCAAAGTCCATTGCAACAAGTCATGCAAAAAAAACAATCAATCAAACCCACTCAGTTGCATAAAAACCTGCCAAAAAACAGGAAAAAAGAGGAACCAGAAAAAGGAAAATACGAATCTCTATTTACCATTCATCCAGTTCTTCTTGGGTTGAAAATGGTAAGCCGTTCTGTGCATTGGCTTCACAGTTGTTGGCTCTACCTTGTCTAAGGTGTGGTAGTGCTCATGCGAAGCTTCGGCGCCATGGCATAGCATAACATAACTCAAAACCAGTAGCCTAAACAACTTAACTGAGGTCGCCACCATTGCTCTCTAGAGAGAGAGAAAGAGCTGATCCAAGAGTGCTAGAGAGAGAGAGAGAGCTGGTCCTAGAGTGCAGGGGAGAGTAGTATATGGAGCTTAAATAAGGAGGATAGAGGCGCAGGTCATTAATTAAATTTTAGAGAGAGGATAAAAAAAAAGTAGAGAGAGAAAGTCGGAATTTGAATGGATAAAGTTCTCATAAACGGCAGGCGTTGGAATGCCAAATATGTCTGTAATATATATAGGGTATAAAGCCTGAACCCCATTTGAACGCGTTGGAAAACAAGGTGAGGTTTCTTTAAATGTCTGTCATTTGGGCCGGGCATGGCATCGGATTTGGGCCATGGTATAAATCCCCTTGGCGGAGCCTAAGCTTAGGACTAAATAATTTTCATTACTATTCGTACAATATGGGATGTGGCTTTTGTAAGGCCGCAACTTTTAATTGAGAAAGGGGCGCGGGTAATGGTGTCGTACCCTACCTTTTATATTTTATATGGTGTTGTGGTTTTTATTTCTACTGATATTATTTTTTAAATATTAAAAAAAAATTAACTCTAAAATTACTTAAAAAAGAGTAATGATCTTATGATATCTTTTCGCATTTACGTGTGTAGGACTTCGTAGGATCACCATTAAAATTTTTTAAAAAATTATCATACAGGTGTAGAATTTGACTTTTCTAAATATATATGCAAATTTAATGGAGATCATTTGAGATAGTAAAAGCCAGATAATTAAGAAAAAAAAAAAAACCCACTAAAAAAACCATTAAACTTATTTATGTCCCTATGAAATTTAAAGCTGAAAAGATAATGGAGATTTGGTAGATTTCACGAATCTTTCCATTGTACTCATACAACATCAAAAAGCTACAACATTACAAGAATCTTCCCATCGTACACTTACACATATGTATACGTAACATAGATGGTTATAAGTCCATTTACTTTTTGGTATGAGGAGACCAAATCACTATATCTTATCAAAGGTCAAATTCAACTACTTGAATTGTATCAACATTTTGAGATTATCTTACAACTCGGATTGTGTAAAATGAGACGATTGATCTTATAAGGTCACAATCACTCCTACACATTGTATGTCAAATTGAATGGCTAGGAAAAATATAGTCTGAAATTTTTCTTTTGAATTTTGAATCTTTTTAATGACATTCTTACAACCACTCAATTTGAAATATAATAAACAAGAATGATTGTGATCTCTTTGTACAAAAATGATCTCTTTATATACTTTTTCTATGTAGCTTGTGTCCAAATTATTACCCTACTAAAACAAATTTAGGCGGGTGCGGTTTGTATAAAACCTAGGCTCTAAACAATCAAATTAGAGCTTACCTACAAATAGTATCGAAAAAATGTGGTTCAACATTAGAAATCTATGTGATAACCTTAAAATATATTTTCATTTTTATTTATAAAGTTTAAAGCTTCAAATATAGTGCAGATCGATAGATCTATGAAAATTCAAAAATCTCGAAAATTGACGGTCCAAAAATGCATTACAAAATACACTATTTTTAAAATTTAAAATCTATTTTTTTCTCATGTCTATGCATCTTGATGTCGAAATAATCGATTTAAATATAGTTAGACATCAAAACAATCTCTTATAATGAAATTTTTGAAGCTGGTTCTGATTTGATTGTTTAGAGCCTAGGCTCTATATAAACTTTTGCTACCGGGCTTATCTTTGTAGCTGCGCCACTTAGCAGGCCAACTACCCCTATCCAAGCCTGCAACAGTACTTGAACTGCACTTTTTACTTCTTTTTATTAATGTTATGGATAATATAGGATTTCACAATATCCTGGAAATAACTTTTTAATCAACGGCCCATAATTTGATAAGGAAGCATGCACGACGAATCCGCTCACATTCAATCAAACAACTTAATAGCGTGCTGCTTCTTTTAGACACATAGGCCAACTTTTTGAAACGTGTTAACAAAATTACCCTCAGCCTTTTAAGCTAATTAATACGGTGCAATGCCTCGCGTCTCAAAAGCTTTGTTAAATCATTCAATGCTGTTAAGGGATAAGGTGATACGACGGTATTATCTTCCAAAAAGTTGTGTTTATCGATAGGACCCTTTTTTTATTTTTTTTATTTTAGGAAATATATAAAATATATATTTAACTTATCAATAATCTTAAATTTACCCCCCTTCTAACTACTACTCACGTCTATTTTGATGCGCTTTTGAAATTGAATAAAAAATTAGAGGGTGACAACTATGTTTGGCAAATTAAATGTTTTTCCAACCGTAATGTAAGCTGAGCTATATGTATTATTAGAATCGGGGCAACTATTGAACTAGGGTTTGGTCCAATTAATATCTATCGTATTGGTTAGTTGGTTTTTAAAAATAAAAATTTATAAAAATATAAAATATATTACAAAATTAAAATTGTCATATTTTGTTTTGCTAGCCCAATAATAAAAATAAGCTTGTCTACAAAGCAAAAAGGCTTTTCAATAATACAATCGGTCATTGGATCAAACTAGCCAAATTGTTGGTTAGCAATCCAGTCAAACCAGCCGATCTGGTATGCTCTTGATAACACCGATACATACTAATAGTCGTACAACAAACGGGCATACACAACCTATCTCTTTTTTTTTTTCCCTTTTTTTTGTTTTTGGGTTTGAGGGGCTTGGGAATGGGACATGATCATGAATTGGAATAGTTGAGAATGACTCGGATGTTATATGGTTCATGAGTTATGTATATTTAATAAATTTCCTCTTTTCTATTGTTTTTTCCTATGGACAATACTTGGTATGTTCGTTTGTGGTTAACGTACATAGTCTATGATATACTTTCCCATGTAATACTGAATGTAATTCTTATTAGAATTATGCAATAGAAGCTGGTGAAAGCTTAGTTAAAACTTAAATTTAGGCGAAGGGTCTGTCTTATATAAAACGGCAACTTTTTTTTTTCTTTTGTTTTGACCATCTATATAAGGTGACAACCTTACTTGCACAAATATGATTAAAGTATTTCGCGTTATCTATTTTAATCGGCCAATGTAGATTTGTCATAACAGAAAAAAGTGGCAAAAACATGATACATATAATGCATTGGGGTTAGGCATTTGTTTCAGTCTAAATTAGGGCACAAATATTATGTTGGATCCAATGAAAAAGCTCATTATTGGAAAACAAATTACAATCTTTTTTCACAACTTGGTGAGTGTAGAGGATTCTAAATTAACTTTAAAGAAAATTTATCAAGGTACACTTCACATTTCAAATATTCAACATTTTACTCTTTTAGTTCTATTAAAAAAAATCTGGCATATTTTGATTGGTATTTAGAAATTAATTCAAAACATATGGATACAATATTGAATATCTAATCTCATAAGTGTATTTTGACAATTTCCCTTTTCGAAAGTATGAGTACAACAAAATAAAAAAGCTCTCATCAACAGACATTATGACTAGGGTAAGCTTTCTATGCTTTCCCTACAGCATAAAACATATATATTTCTCTTTATCCAACCGTCTATTCTGAATGGAGGGCTAAGATTGCTCCAATCACAATGTCACGTCTTTACACTATTTATTTTTACTTTTTTTTCTATAAACTATTTTGACACCAAATTTTGGACATCAAATTTTCTTTTAAACTGCACTAGTGAAAAATATAAACAAAAATATTTTCGATAAATAAATGACCAAAATACCCCTGATATTTTTAAGGAGTATTTTGGTCATAATATTTTTATCGAAAAAAATATTTTAAATAGTTTTTATCAATGCACCCCACACACATACCAAATTTCATATTCATACAATTTATATAAAAAAACTAAAAATTAAATACTTTGAAGCGTCAGATCTAAGATCAAACAATGAGTAGCTCTCTTGATCAAAATTGGACGGCTGGATGGTAGAAGGAAGATAGTTCTTGTGTAATGCATGGGAAGTATAGAAATATTCCCCTCATGACTAACCCACTGTTTGCTAACTCATCTGTTTGGTAATTCACTTCCCCGTAAACATGCTCAAAAGATACCTCGACCATAAACATTTAGAAGAAAAAAAGAAGAAGAAGTTATTATCCATTGCAATGGTTGGAGATGGCAAGAGGGTGGAAGACATGACTTCAAATTGTATGCCTTACCCCCACCATCACCATCAGAATGCACATTTACCATTCGTCTTTCGACAATAGTCCTTGGAGATTAACAATACCCAAGTGAATATCCTTCATTGGATTTGGTGCTATTCAAAATCACCCATCTAAAAAAATCTCATATTATGTGGGATTGATGTTGATATTGATATTGATATTTATAAATTTCCTCAAAGAAATAGAAATCTAAAAAGATTAGGACTTTTAGAAATATATCACTTGGTTCTTGAGATATATATAAGATTTACAAGAAGTTTCGTATTTAGTGTGGATTATTAATCTTATATATATAGGATAAAAGAGCAGATAATTTGTGTGCCCTATTTGGATCACTATATGAGAAATGTCTCTTCCGTTAGAGATTAATGAGGGGCAAGGCCTCCTGTGCATGAGATGCTATGTGCATGAGATGAAAGGTCTCTCTTAGAAAGAAGAGAGCTTATTATGGAGAGATACATTACGATAATACCTCATGTAGACTCCTAATGATTAATGATTGAGAGACTGGTTTCTTATAGGGTAGTGGTCGCCATTAAGATTTTAGGTAGTTTTTTATTTTATTTAGAGAGAAAGTCAGTTTCTTGTTGCTCTCGTGTCTCTGTCTGGTATTTTCGGTAATAGTTGCCAAAAGTAAAGAGAAGAAAGAATGACATGTAGTGTCGAGGCTGGTCTGTTGTAGAGAAGCGAATCTCATGAAGATTTTGGGTAGTTTTTCCTTTTAGTTAGAGAGAAAGTCAATTTGTCGTTACTCTCACATCTCTATCTAGTGTTGTCGCTAATGGTTACCAGATGTAAAGAGAAAGAAGAATTACAAATAGTGTCATTCGGGAGAGTGTCTTAAAAGGGTTAGAGTAGTAACTATATGTCTCAAAATCTATGATGTAACTTTCATTGGTATAGTGGATTTCAGTTTGTCGCATTTGTGAATGTAGGCCTTCTAAGGTGAACCACGTAAATCTTTGTGTTCTTGTGTTATTTGTTTCATACTCTATTTCTTATACTTTATTTGCCAAAAATCAACCCATCAGGTTTAAAGCTTTCACGCACAACAGTGAAGCCCTCACATGTAGAAATGCAAGCTTGGCAATAAAGATATATTTTAAATATAATTTCATCTTAATTTTTAGATAATATATAATCTTTAACATGAAAATTATGAATATAAAATAATAAATAAATTTTGAAAACTAATAATTATATTAAAAAAACATTTGGACTGTTAGTTACAATTGATTTTTGATGGACAACCAATTTACAACCATCTTTAAGATGGATGCTTACCTTTGGACCGCATGAAACAATTGTTCATAATATAATATTACCGAAATACTTGGGATTTTATCCTATAAGATTGTTTACATTTAGTACAATAAAGTCATACTCATCCTTAACTATCAAATGCAAATCCGGTGGCTAGGGATCTTTCACAAAGCTCATTAAATGTTTTTTTATCTTAAAGTTTGAACAATAGCACACCCCCAGTTGCCCGACTCATGCCTAATAGCTAGAAGCGATTACAACTTTTTTTTTGTACAAAAAAACGTAGATGATCTCACTGTATACTTTCTTGAAACATTTACACATGGATGGCTACCCAAGTTGATGTTTTGGTGGGAACAATGAATCTATTTGAAGTGGCTCATTTTATACCAAAAAAAAGTGAGTATAATTTCCCATCTCCTATACTAAACTTGCCTATGTTTAGTGAAGGAAGAGTCCACAACCGTGGGATCTCTATCCAATTTATAGATGTGGATGGACATTATTACTAACAAAGTTTTATAATATAAATAGTTACACACTTGTCAAGCCTATGGTTTAAATGCAAATCACTTATTTGCATGACTATTTTATTTTTGATACGAGGAGGTCATAATCATCTTTACCTCTTAGATATTAAATTCGACAGCTTGAGTGTCACGAAGCTCTAAAAGTTTGTTTTTGGACATTGTGGCTAATCAATAGCATGCCTTTAGCCATCTGTTTTAACATCTAATGGTCCACAGTGACTATGACCTCCTTATATCTAAAGTAACTAGTCTAATTATATAATTTTTTTTATTTCAATTTTGGGTGCCATTTTGATTAGAGATTGTCCACAAATAGACCATTTATCTTTTATACATGGAGGTCGTAATTATTTCGACTCATTAGATGTCAAATTGAATGGGTTGAAGTGAGTTGCGAAGTTTGAGAAATTTTCTTTTTTTTAGAGCTTTGTGTCTATTCAATGACACTCTTAGAACTAAGGGTGGCAATGGACCCGGATCCGACCTGGGACCTGCTAGGTGTACTTGATACATGCCCGGGTATTGGTCCAGCATTTGGACCCGACGGGTCGGGTGAGTGAAACACTATCCGAGTCCTGGTCCAGCTAGACCCGACCTATACTCGTAAACCGTTAGAAATAAAATATTTACTTTAAGCCCTATTGGTTTTGGTGTATTAAGAATTATATACAATAAGAATTCGTAGTCATATTTAGCTATTAAACGACAAATCAGACGGCTTGTAATCTACTGGCAGGTGATTGTGATCTTATTGCCAATAATGTAGAGAAAAGAATGATTGTGATCTCCATATATAAAAAATAAATTGTTTTTTTCTTTTTTTTTAGATAATCCCTATTGATTAAGGCTCAAGTCATTACTTGTTGAGGTAGGACTGTTACCATATACACGATAGCCCATGGTCCAAACATAAGAGAAATGTTCTGACCCATCCTAAAGATCAAATTTTCCAAATGTGGATGGCATTTTCATAAGGCTGCAGTCCTCACTTGTTAAGGATTTGACACGCAAATTAAGAGCAACTGTAGGGTTTTTTATTTCATTGTTTTACCGGATCCTCTTTCGGATCCCCTCGAGAAATATTTTTGAAAGCTCTCTCTCGTCGTTTCAACAGTAAACTGATCGTGTAGTTCTGATTTTTCTTGGGATCCATTTCTGATATCAAGCTTACAAGTTTTTGTCCTCGTCTATATCTGTTACCACCTTTCAAGTTGCAGTGGTGAAAACAAGCCAAGAGGAGGTGGAACTTGACTACTTTTTTCAAGATATTTCACTTGAGGACTATTCTCCAATAAAAGAGGTTTTCCTTGTGCAGAGACCATAGGATTTTGTTTGAATTAGTGGTTTTGATAGAGAGAGAGAGACCGTAGGATTTTGTTTGAATTAATGGTATAGAGAGTTTCAAAAGAAAGTTGCAGAGGAAGTGCGAGATTTTTAGGTTTTTTTTTTTTGTACCCCAAAACCTCGCCTGAGTTACTCAGTCACATCTCAAACATATTACAAAGCTATGGCCTCAACAAGAAGCAAGGTCACATTGGACAAAGTCTCTGAAGTCTGATATGACAAAGTCTCGTTGAGTCACTTAATTCAAGAAAAAGAAGTGTTTAGATAAATTCACATTTCTATTTAACAAAAGCCGTATCAGAAGCATTCATTCTTATTCATAGTAACGGATTTCAAAAAAAATAAAAAAGCACTCTTTCTTCACTGGTTGCTTTATCTGCTCAACAGTGATGTTTCCCTTTCATCTTCAAAGTTCAAACCATATTTCACAAGTTTGGATCTTTCTCAATAACCATCCCCAAATCTCAAAATCTAATTTTCTTAACAACAAGTGGTCAAGAAGAGAGAAGAATGGGCAGCCCATGAAGAGAGAGAGAGGAAGGTTAGAGAGACAATGGATTTGCTTAGAGGAAATGAAATTCAATAATAAGAGAGGTTAGAAAGAGGGATATTTAGAGAGAGAGAGGTTAAAAATAGATTGATAGATAGATAGAGAGAGAGACAGTTTTGAGGAATATAACAAGAAAGAGCAGGAGCAGAGGCCAAAGAATACAAGAGCAGGAAATTGCAGAGAAAACATTGTGGAAAACTTAAAAAGGTTAAAGAGATAAAATGGAGGGCATGGAAAATGAGGGAACCAAGGCTTTCATCCCCTCAATTTATTTCTTTCAAATAGATTGTAAAATCTGAACTGTCTATTTTATTAAGTAGGCAATCTAACCAAAAACACTTCAACTTTAAAAGTTGCTTATCTCCATCTACTACTTTAATGGGAGATAAAAGATTGAACTAGATTTATATTGAGAGTCAAGTTCATTTTGCTTTTTTGTATTTTCAGAGATCTCAAAGACTGATTCCTCTTTTAGCTTAAAAGTATTGCTTTACAACATTAGATCAATGGGCAAAACCTCCTAAAAAAATCAATTTATGCATTTTTTTTTTACTCTAATTTTTGCACATACACTATCTTAAGCCTAATGAATAATAAATAAATAAGCAACAATTTTCTTGAAGAGAGAGGAAAATTTGTAAACATCAATATCTGTTAAAGGCCTAAATCTTTAGGAACTCAAGATCGTTTTCTATAAATTAGCATCTATAAAATTTGGATTAAAACCAAAGGCTGAAGCCACATTATTTTCTCCCTCCTTAATAAATCGATTTAAAAATTTTTAGATTTTTTATAACCATGTTCATCAGGAGAAAAAGAAACATCTAACAACTTGAAATCAACCACATCCCCCAAGATAAGTCCATCAAGGAGTTTTTGGTCCATAAGTTAATGTTGTTCAAATAAGATCAGATGCGTGTGTGTGTGTATTTTTTTCATACACACATGTGTATACCTCTTAAAAAGTAAATACCAAATCCCCAAGATACACAATAACACAAGGAATCTGTATCTTATACAAGTAACTTTCCAAACACTTGAACATTTGTTTTATAATCAACTGAACATTTGTTTTGTAATCAACTATTCATCCAACATGCTGAGTACCATATTCAAGCATCCAAAAGCCCAAGTTTCACCGAGTCTTCATTCCCATACATATGAACTCTACATCTCCACATCCATAGGAGTTTCCTTATTCAAATACTTACCTGAAAAATTCCAAAACCTGTAAAAATTATCTCACTCAACAAATATTTTTTTCTCTTTCTAAATCAAGTACTATTTGAAGGAATACCAATCACACTTATAATCACTAGATAGTTGAATAATGGATCACAACAACTGAGCATACCTCTTTCTAAATATGTTAGAATCAAATATCATGGAGATATCTACATATGTCACAATCAAATATTATTGAAAAAGTATAAAATAAAATTATTTATTATTGATAGAAGAAGGTCACAATCACCCGGAAGGGGAAGTTGGTGGAAGGGGTTATTGATGTGATATTGATCATTTGAAATCCAAAAGAAATTTCTCGACCATTGTGATAAACCCCTAGCCACAGAAATTCACATATGGAGGCTAGAAATAATTATGACCTTCTTATATCAAAAATAAATACCCTCAGTACACAACCTAGTATAATTATGGTACAACTGAAAGTGACTCGAACTAACCTCTCTCTAAATCATATTCAAGCAGAAAAAATACCATTTGGATTGACATAGGGAGCTCGGATCGACAGAGAGAGTCCTTACCAATCTGGCAAGAAGCCTCCCATGGACTGAAGGAGAGTCCTTGCCGATCCGGCAAGAAACCTCCCTCTCTCTCTCTAACTCATGGTTACATTTTCCTTCACCTTCTCAAGAGAGAGAAAGTTTAGAGCTCCATGACTTACTTATTTATAGTCTTAAATACATGTATGCTTATTTATAGAGCTCCATGACTTGCTTATTTATAGTCTTAAATACATGTACAAATGTACCTAGATACTTATCTATTCATACGCATGTGAGCTGTCTCTCTTTAGGGTTTGGCTTTAGTCTTACCATGGATAGCCATGGTCAAATTTTTCTATATTTGGAAAGTGGCAATCTCAGCCGAGCGATGAGTGGCGGGGGGCGATGGGCGGCTAGGAGAAGTCCACGTCGTTGATGACAGCGGCTGCTTAATGTGGCGTGGGATATTAAGTGCGAGGCACGGGGGGTGGGCTTTTGCGGGAAGGGCGCGGTGTTTGAGAGAGAGAGAGAGAGAGGAAGTTTGGATGTTTGTGTGAACAAAAGGTTTGGGCTGTGGACTTGAGTGAGAAAAATAAAGAAGGGAACAAGAAAGTTTGTTGTGTGACGAATAATTTTCGGAAAAGTATCAATGACTTACCTGAGCACACAAAAAGAATGGTCATGAGTTTCTCCATTTCACGCAAGCAAAAAAGAACAACCTACTTATTTTCATTCTCATTCACACCACCCACTAATATTTTTTTTTTTAAAAAAAACAAACTCCTAAAATTATTTAAAAAATCAAGCAAAGGCATGTCTTCCTTACTAAATTACCCAAAAAAAAAAACAAAACAATGTACAGAATCACATGCACACACAAGTCCAGAGGATTTCTTTGTGCAGGAGCTACCATCAAGTCAGGTTATACCTTCTAGATCTAGGATAAGGCTAGCAATGGCCTACTTGGCCCTGCCCTAAAAGATTAGCGCTCGGGCCAAGCACCCAAGGTTTGGGTATATGGCCTGGCGGGTCTAGGTCCAGGACTGTGGTAGGGCGGCCCAATTCAATCGGGCTTGGCACTTCACTTTCCTTGTTTATGCCTTTGCAGACCGTGCCCTATCAGGCTAAGGTCAAGCCTTTGCCAGCACCGGGCTTGGGGCTAAGCCCTTAGGGGCTAGGGAGAAGCTTCCCTGTAGAGCCGGGCTAAACCAGGTTGGCTCAGCCTAGGTGGCTCTAGCCATGCTTTGCTTGGCCCATTGCCACCCCTAATATAAGGATTACCTTGTCTAGCGGAGGCAAATAGGCCAGGTCGACCGAACCTTATTCTAGATCTTCTCTAGATTTGGGTAAAAAACCAATGAGTTGGGGCTGGGCTGGGGTAAGGTCGATGTCTAGGTTGGGGTGGACTTCACCAACCCTTTTCACAATAAGTATGCTACATATAAATTTATATAAAAAATCCAATTATTTTATATACATATCTAGAATTTTTTATATCTATGCCCCGCCTCGGGCCTTCTGATCCGTTTGACTGAAACAGACGTAGGTCCTGGTTGATCTAATTACAGCCCTAACTTTGTGAGGTTGGGAGGACTCTTGGATATTAAGATCCAAATACTTCATATTCTTGCATGGCAGTGGAGCGATTGGAGCAATAGTGTCGGATTCGCTTCGTTTCGGCTGAAGAGGCCTAAGTTATTGGATTTCAAGCTTAGACTTTAGTAAAACCTGGTGTTGCTGCTTCGGTAAGCTTCTGGCAAATTCGGTCGAATAAAAAAAAATTATTTACATGGAAGTATTTTTTTAATATATTTTTTTTTTACCTTTTTACATTATTTTTATGTATTTTTATATAAAAATATCTAATTTATTTATATTAAATTAAAAGAGAAAATCCAAAATCTTCCCTCAAATCAGGCAAAACACAAATTACTTCATTTTTCTCCTCAAACCGAAAAAGATTCTGAAACGAATCTGACAACGTTGGATTGGAGGACTTGTTGTTGAATGGTGGTAGAGAGAGTGGTCTTCTTCATTGCTAAATAGGACCAAATTGTCCTTTTGCAATAGGCGAGGTTTGTAGAAAGCACACATCATAGATTGCAAAAGTAAAATGTATATATGGTTTGGAGTAGAAAATCTTGAGATGGTTTGAAAATCTATTTTCATCAGTTATGAAATTTAAAATTTTAAAAATAGTACAAATCTATAAATACTTGAAAATAGATGGTTCAGATAACTTGTTACAAGACAATATATTTAAGATTCAAAATTATTTTTTTTTCATGTCTATATGTCTCAAGGTCGAGATAATCAATTGGAGGGTTTTCCAACATCTAAACACTCAATTCGGGAGGATTTTTAAGGTGTACCTTACTCCAGTAGCTTATATAAACTTTTTCCTTATTTAATTCCACTTTTTTAACTTTGAAGGGCTATAATTTCATGGAGTCTTATGTTTTTGTTAGCTTTTGGGTTAGGGTCACTGGTGTGCACAAAGGAGAACAACTCATGGATGGGTTTTATAAGAAGGGTTCGTATAGAATTCACATGATGTGGGTACTCAACTGGAGACACCCTCAAGCGGTCAAATTTTATGGGAATAAAACAGACATCAACCATTTTAGATAGTAATTTGATTTTAGTTTTAATTTTTTTTCTTACATATTAGATTACTATAAATTTTTGGAGCCACATGCACCACAAATAGGTGGACATAAAAAAGTAAAAATAAAAATTCAAAAAATAAATTAACCAAAATACTTTAGAATATTGCAGGAGTCTTTTGATCAATTTAAATTTTACAAATTAATTTTTATATTTATTTTAAGTGCAGCTTATTAAGAAATATGATGTCTAAAACGTCCAAGTTAGTACAAATATAAATAAAAATTAAAATTTTAGAAACCTATATGCAATTCTTCCATCAATTTTCTTCTATTTAATTTGAATCATAGGGAGGATGCTTTTGTGCCATTTAAGCATCCAATGAGGGATGCTACACTTTTCTATTTCCTTATTTGAAACAAATTTATTTTTAATTGTATATAGGGTTGTTTAAGCTATAGCTGCCTCACCCCCAAAGTTCTAGCCGCAGTTAAATAGAACGGTGGAGATAATTCGACAATATGTCAAAAAGTCAGCCTCCTAATACAGGTTTAGACGATATGCATGTCAACTTTTGCGTATCAGTCTGCACCTGGACTGCAGCAACTAGGGGCGGCAATGGATTCGGACCTAACCCGGGACACGAGCGGTAGACCTGATCTGGATCTGGATATAAGTTTAAAAATTGGATAAGGCGGGTCTGATCCGGGTTCAAAATTTGGACTCGAATACTATTCAGATATGAGTTATAGTAATATTTTTTGGCTAACGATATATAAAATATATTTATATATAGTTAAGGGCAAGCTTTCTATGCTTCCCCTACAACATAAAACTTATATACTTCTCCTTATCCAACCGTTCATTTTGAATGGAGAGCTGAGATTATCACAATGTCATGTGTCTACACTATTTTATTTTAAATTTTTTTTACAAACTATTTTAACACCAAATGTTGTACGTCTAATCCTCTATTAAACTCGCACTAGCAAAAAATATAAAAACAATATTTTCAAACAATATAAAATAATCAAAATACCTTTGAAAGTTGCAATAGGTATTTAATGAGAAGTTGGCATTACACCAAACTTCATATTCATACAATTTTTATAAAAAAATAAAAAAAAATACTTTGAGACGTCAGATTTAAGATCAAACGATGAGTGGATCTCTTTATCAAAATTGGATGGCTGATGATAAGGGAAGCATAGTAGAAGAAGTATAGAAAACTTTCCATAACGCTAAATACATAGATATTTTAATTTTTAGGTCGCGTATGGGTGCCGATCTGACTTGTTGCCACCCCTACCTGGACATTTCCTTTGTAAATGGGTCAGTTTAGGGAGGGACGGCGGTCATTGGCTTCACTAGCTTAGACCCTATTATGCAATCTTGACTCTTGAGAGCCAAATCCCATTATCTTTAGCTACCTTTATGGGTAATCACAAAAAAGAATTATTGCGGGGTGCAGTTGGCATACGGATGCATCCATAGCTGTAGAGGTAAGGTGCACTTTCAAACTTGCGGGGTGCAGTTGGCATACGGATGCATCCGTAGCTGTAGAGGTAAGGTGCACTTTCAAACTTTATCAAACTTTATCATGGTATATAAGTTTGATGTAAAATGTTCTTAAGATTATCTCAAATTTTATTTTTATATCTAATTATAAAATTTTAAATTTAAAAAATGGTTAAAATCAAGTAGATCTATAAACATATGAAAATCTTGAAAATGGACCGTATAAATAATATGTTGTAAAATGCACTACTTTTGATACATAAAATCTTTTTATTTTTCATGGTCATACATCTCAATGTCGAGATGATCAATCAAAGGATTTTTCAAAATTAAAACTACTTTTTTTGATGGATTTTTGAGGTGCATCCGTAGTTCTACATTATAAGGTTGCATCTTTATATAAACTTTTTCCATTATTGCGTAAGGTTGCAGCCCTAATTCAATAGTTAGGGCTACATCCTCAGGCACCATATCCCTTTCCATCATCTGAAGAGGAAAATCTAGGCATGAGAAGCCTTGCGTACTTATTTCTTATATTTTTGGCCTATTTCTCTAACCATCATGGCCCTTCTCTCGGTCTGGGGCATTAGGCTTATACTATTCTATAAGCCATGAGCAGACAGGATCTCTCTCTCTTTTATTTATATATATATATATCGGCAAATTCAGATTTTTCGGCAAAGTAATTACCTTTCACCCTGAAAGCATGAAGGAGGAATTTTCTTACTTTGCCAAAATATCCCATGGCCTGATTTCGGAGTTCATTAAATTTGTAAGAGCTTACCATGAGCAAAATTCGATTTTGGCCATTTGATTTATGGTGGCCACATGATCCACGACGCCGGTCACTACCGAACCACGACAGATTCCCCTCCATCTCTGCAACTTCTGCTTGCTCAATCCATCTGTACAGCCATGTCCATATGAGCACAAGACCTTCACTACTGAAAATTCTCCACTTCCACTCTGTGTAGCTAATTCTAGGGCTGACCCATGCCCAGCCCTGGATGAGCTGCAATAGATTTCAAAATTTCCTTCAAGTTCGTGCTCAAATGTCGAGAAAATGATTGGAATATTTGGGGCTTTTGGGGTTACTTTCAGAGAGCCAGAATTTCTAGATTTGCTGAGATGCTTGATTGGTTGCAGAGCAAGGAAATAGATAACTAGACTTTCCATTAAAATGTGGCATGGATATAAAGAGAATGGGGAAGAAAGGGGGGCGCGGTCGGGGCCGTAGGATGGGTTACCATAAGCACGGTTTTCTTGCCAAATCTACATCATTCAACTAAATAGACGGTGATGATTATAACCTTACCTCAATTGGAGAGCAATTACCAAAACCACGCCCATTGTAAACTAAAAATAGCCACTAATGAATGGGCGAAAATATTTGGAAGAATATCAGCTTTCTTTGCCGAGAACATCAAAAAATGCCAGCTTATGTATCACGATTGGTAAAACACCTACGAATATTAGCAAAACTCCACTATTCGTAGGTGTTTTGTTGGCAATTCCCCTGTAAATAATCTCACACCACTTATTTCGACACAACTATAAGGAAAATTCCTATGAAAAGCTAAAAAAAGTGGACATCCAAACTGGGACCTATGGGAGCAACTTCTAGAGTAAGGCCGCCTATACAGCGGTTGCATTGGACGACTACGAAGTACTTCTTGTTTTTAATGCTAATACGGGATCTGAAATAGGAATCAAGCTTTAGATGTAATATCCACCACCTTGACCACCCAAGCCTAGAACCAGATTGCCATGAAGTATTGAACACTTCTTTCCCCTCAATGGAAAGAGAACCGCATATATGGGGAAATTGTTTTAGGTCAAACAAGTTGGAAACTATTCGTTATTCACCTTATCTTTTTCTATATCATTTTCAAATTATCTTTTTTATTATTCAGCTGATAAACAATTATTTAGAAAAGGAAAAGGGACTTTGAGCTCTTAAAACCATGGAGTGCGTGAACAACTCAAAGTCAATCTTTGAGGGGGAATTGATTTTGAGAAGTTTATGAGCCTTAACTGGCCTATTTAGCAAGAGCATCTGCAGCACTATTGCACTCTCTATTGATATGGGAGAAGATGACCTCCCTCCCCTCCCCATCCAGAAGTATTGGACCTCCTCCATAAACGACTTGTATCTCCATTGCACCTTCTTTTGGATATCTTTTTTTTTTTTTTTTTTGACAATGTTACTTGATATTATTGATATGAATTTACATCAGTGATTGCTCATGAGCAGCACGCTTAGCTAATCCATCCACCACCTCATTAGTCTCTCTGTTGACATGTAAAATTGAAATTTCCAAATCAATATCTATATCTGTAATCTGCTTCCATAAGAATCTTATGGTCCAAGGTGGTGTGGATGTACAATTGCACAAATTAATGACATCGAGCGAATCACCCTCTACAATAAATAGCCACCCACATGCCTCTCCTTGAAATCTCAAATCTTGTAGGAGAGCTCGAATCTCAGTTTTATTTGCCGTCACATTTCCACAAGGTCCCCAAAAACAAAAATTTAATTTCAAACAACCGTCTCTCATTATACTACCATCAAAAATTTAATTTCAATCAACCCACCAATAGAGGAATCCATCTACCTTTCGTCTCACTTTCACAAGGTGCAGACTACTAAGCTGAACCATATTAAGATCAGTATCACTTGTTTCTTCATCATATTTATATAGTAAGTATCCATTCACCACAACACTCCCATTCTTTTTAAGATTATCGAGAGTTAATATTTTACCTTGAAACGGAACCCAAAGAAAAGCCTGAACATTTGGGGGAGAGCATCTTTGATTCCTTCAACTTCACTTACATTGCCCATAGTGATTAGAATCATTAACACAAACCACAGCTAACTCTTTCTCGCAAAGAATGAATGAATATGCAGAAATTCTCGGTAGACGGAACAAGTACTTGTTACTGAAGGGAATCTTTAGGAATTGGACTTGGGCTTGAGCGGTTAGCAATTCCTATTAGCAATGCTAGATCCCATTTTTGGTTCCCACCTCTAAACTACCCCAAAACGAAAGAAAGAACTCTATCATATTGTGAAACCACCACTTCAATGCCACAAAAATATTTAAATTCTCTAAAATCCTTCATTTGGAATATTTGAGGAGAGAATCTTTGATTCTTTTTGCTTCACTTGATTAAATCATTAACATAAACCATATAGATAAATATTCCTCAAGAAAAATAACAGAAATTTATTGTAGAGAGAACAAATCCTGGTAGATGAAAAAAAACACTATTATATTGTCAAATAATGCCTTAGGTGCATATTGGAAGTTATGTATGGCTTTCTTTAGTTCGCCATGCTTCAGACTAATTCTTGTGCAGTTCTTACCTTTCCTTTAGGAAGTGTATACATTAAAAGTTTAAAGGGAACCTTTTTATGTGACGTGACCCATATCTCTTGCTCTTATTCTCAGCAATTTGATTTGATGGGCAACAGGGATATCTTCAATCATAATGTCATGTACAACCGTTTTATTTTTATATATTTCTATAAATCATTTGGAGATGAACTTGGACGGTCACACTGGCACACAACTAATAAAAACAATAAATAAAAATATATTTGATAATAAAATTGACCATATGTTATAGGGGTATTTTGTTCTTTTATTATCAAAAATATTTTTTCCTTATTTTTAATGAGGTGTGGCCCCATTGAGAAGGCGGAACCCCCAAATTCATCTCAAAATGATATTTAAAGTAAGGATTAAAAATTCAAATATTATGAGTCCAACTTGACCTTGTTTCTTAAGTTATTTCATCTAGAGCGCATATATTATGATCCTTCGGTTAGAGGATGTACCTGGGAGGATTTTTTCAATCTAAATTTTTGGGAACCACCTAAGAATTTTTTGATGATTATTCTCAAAAAAAAAAAAATTGAAATTAAAGTTGCGATTGTATACAATGAGATTATTTACTTTTGGTATATGAAGGTCACAATTACTTATAACCATCCAATATGAAATCTGATATCTTAGGTGTGTCACAAAATTCGATAAAATTACTTTTTAACTTTGAGTTTGGCCAATGAAATAATGAAACCACCCAATTTCACATCCAAATGGTGAGGTAAAGATAAATGATCTACTACGTAGATCTCATCATCTTAAAATTGGATAGTCTCTATTTCAATCTCTAGATATCATTTTTTTTCAAGTGCATAAAAAGTGCAATTAGAAAAATAAAAATAAAAAAGAAATATGTACGTTAATCCATGGGTTGAAGAGGTTACATCCCCAAAAATTTGGGGTTTTCAAGGTGAGGTTTTGTCTGAAGGTGTAAATCGAAAGTATAGTCCTACGGGAATATAACCATTAGCTTATTTTACATGACAATGGAGCCTCAAGTCTATAACCATTTGGTTAAGCACCATGCTCCATCGAGACAAAGGAGTTCCAATCTAGGTAAGCAGTTTTAAGAGATAAGACTTGGAACAGGAATAAGGAGGTTTGTTTTCAGCCCATGATTTAGTCAAACAGCATGCTCCATTAAGACAAGCAGTCGTAATCTAGGGAGGTAGTTTTAGAGATAAGAGTTGGAACGGGAATAAGGAGGTTTGTTTTCTGCCCATGATACCCCTCTCTCTCTCTCTCTCAACCTCCATGCTTTCCCTCCTGTAACGAGACTTGGCAAATTTCTCTCTCTGAGGCAGTGCAACCTTGCAAGTTACTATTGCGAGCCTAGGCGAGGGAGGTTCTTTCAATTCTCCATTTGCTGCAGTGAGAAAAGCCTAACAAGTCCCCTTCTGCGAGGCAGGGCCAGGTACTCCCTCCTTTCTCCATTGTTGCACAGAGAGAGGAATTTATTATGGAAAGGTCGAACCTCCATTGTTGCACACACACAGGAATTTATTATGGAAAGGTTGAACCTCCATTGTTGCTCAGAGAGAGGAATTTATTATGGAAAGGTTGAACCAGAATGAGCTCAAAATCAGACACCCATATCAAAGTTGTAGCACCATAAATGCAGAAAATTCACATTCATATATATCCAGTTGTCTCGGCAACAAAACGATCAAGACTTTCATGATTTTCCTTCAAATAAGTTATAAAATGAGAAGAAGAGAGCGATGAACTTGTTTTGGGCCTCTTATTCTCATCCATTACAAGTGGACAACTATGATTTTATCAGAGATAAAAAGCACAATCACTAAAAACCAAAGGTAGCAACAAATATCAAATACACCCCTAAAAATCCAAAGATATTAGAAAGCGACATGGTCTTTACAGGAGGAATGAAATTACTTTACAGGATTCATTGTACACAACCCGAGAACCCAACCTCACCACCCATTCACCATTACCGCCAAACCCGTCATCTCCAGTCAATTGACCAAGATAACCGCACTAACCACCGAGTTAGCCACAACTCACAAGCCCAAAACCAACTCATGAGTCGAGCTCAACAAGCTGAGCCCTCTTCTCGGCCGCAATTTTTCGGACGAATATACCCCAACGCAAAGCCGCTTTTATCTTGAGCCATCCCACTGCAGCCTTCCCTGAGGGCCTGCCTGGACACATTTCATAGGTATAATTCGTCGCAGGCGAGGGAATATAGGAGGGATAACTATAGGCATCGGTGTTTCCTCCCATACTGAAGAGCCTGAGCAAATGTTGCATATCCTCGTTCTCGAGCATTTCTGAGCTTCTCATCCGAATCTCTTCTTCTGTGAAGTAATCATCGAGCCCACGAGCGTCCCTATGCCGAGCCCAATCGTCGGCTGGGGTTTGGCCAACATTCATTGTTTGGAACCCAGTTGATAAAGGTGGGCCCAAAGCAAGACCAACTTGTGGACCTTGTGGGGCATGGTGAGAGGTGCTTACTAGTTGATTTTGTTGGGTTGCGAAATGGTTGTTGTTGAATTGGACCTGGTTGTTTGCTGTTAATTGGTCAGGTTGGGATGAATATCTTGTTGCAGGGTTTTCCCCATAACTAGAGATTGATGCCCCTGAAAAAGAGAGGAAGTATTAGTAGTCGCAGGAAAATGGGCCTGAAGAGAAAGTATTACTGGTTAGAGAAAGATGACCCTGGAGAGGAAGAGTTAATATATAGACATTCCTATCTGGAAGTATATCTTCGCGTTGGGAGCTATAGATCTGTATGGATTTGGGGGAAAAGCAAGCCAGGGGTATGAGGAAGTATGCCAGTTCAGAGAAAATAAAGACAACAATTGTGTCAGGAAAAAACTGGAATGCCGAAACAACGCAAATCCATCGCCCTGCCCTGCCCTGCCCTCCCCTCACTCACTCATTGTACCAAAGCTACAAATGTGCTATCCTAGAACAACTTGAGATCATAAGAAATTTTTGATTTTTTCGGTGTGCCTATCCTAGAACAACTTGCAAGGAGATCATAGGAATTTTTTTGATTTTTTTTGGTCTACACACCCTCCCCCCCCCCCCACCCACCACACACACACACACACACACACCACCCACCCGCGGCGGGTCGACGAACGCGACAATAGTGTCTACTACTACGTAACTACTACGTTAGAAGGAAGTATAACGTAACGTAAACGTTTTAGTTTTAGTT